GTGGCTGGCGCCTTAGCCACTTGAGCCACAGGCGCCGAGCCAACTCCCAGATATTTTTGGCAGCGGGCCCTCGCTCTGGCTCAGGCTGGTCTCAAACCACTGAGTTCAGGCAATCCATTCACCTTGGCCTCCCAGAGTGCTAGGATTACAGGAGTGAGCTATTATGTCTCGCCCACAATCATGGTTTCTTGAAATGTGATGACCTAGAATGGAAGAAAACTTCCTCTGGGATAGAATGAAAAACAGGTGAAAAAAAATTTTTTTAAACTCCACATAATCATGTTTGGAATTCTTTAAAATGTTAAATTAACACAAAGCGAGAAGAATAACACCGTCTTGTCTTCTTAAATATGCTGTGCAACCGATACTATGTTATAAATAGGAAAAAACACCCCCACAAAAGCTGGCAAATTCAAGGAAACAAAAAAGAACTATTTTAGGTTCCCTCTTTCCTGTCAGTCTGTAAGATCAGGGTGAAGTACAAGGAAACACAGTTCTGCCTTAAAAATGATAAAATGTTTTAATTTGGTAGAAATTATTGAAAAAACCAAGACAAGTTCTCCAGGAAATTAAAAAAAAAAAAAAGACAATCAGTCCCCTCAAAAGTCTTTAAAATCTGCCTTCAATCTCTATAACCTTCTCAAGGCTAAATGATATATGTCATCCTCCAGGTCTGGATCTACTATTTCTATCATTCTACCTCTTATGGATCTCTTAACCTAGAAATGCCATTCAAGAAAATAGTCATCTCCTACTAAATGTTTTTATACTAAATGTTCTTAATTAACTAAAGACAACATGACCATTTATGGCTTAAGGGAGCACTGGAAAAGGGCTGGGAAGGGCAAACCTTGGCTTTAGTAGCTGCTGAGGCAAGAGCAGCTGCTGCGGCTGTGGCAACATTTCCTTCAGAAATTTCATGTTCTACTTTCTTCTTCCCGATATCACTCTCTCTTTCTTTACATGTATCAGGGAGTTCTTTGTTCTCTTCAGTTTCCTTTTCTTCTGAAAATAGCAGAAAGCTTTATTACCAGTGTGCTCAGTCTAAACAATTCTTCTTACCTTCGCCACATGACAAACTAGGACAATGCCTTTCCCCCCCTTCTTAAGGAATTTTGATGAACCATTCCATGCATTTAAGTCTGCCTATATTTGGGGTGTATTTTCCACCCAGCACTTTATCTTCCCTTTACTTATCTAAGTTCTATGTGTAGGTCTATGGGATATAAAAAAAAAATTAAGCATGAGACCAGGTATTTGTTCATCAGTCAGTGAAATGCTCTGGGAACTCTAGGGTCAGTAGGAAATCAGATACTGAGAACAGAGGGCTTCCCGGAGCCTGATAGGCACGATGGGATACAGCAATTGTCACTGAAAAGGAGAAAAAAAAAATAGCATGTCTGTGAGGAGACTTCAATCATGTTGAATAACTGGTTTATCTATATACTAAAGAAAACAAAGGGGCAAAATATAGCCACCTGTATTCGCACTGGTACTTATCTGCTAAGTCAAACTTAAATACATACTTATTCCTGCATTATAAATCCAAAATAAATGAGAAAATATTTCTATGCAAAATGTCCACATTTCTCCAGTGCCTTTTTATAGTTTTATATAATATAATCTAAGGACTTTCCTTAAATTACCTGATTTGGTATCCTCACTAACTTCACTATCCTGTTCCTTCTCACTGTTTTTTTCATTTTCTCCATCTTGTGCTTTACCACTTTCTTCTGTTTCATTTTCCACTTTGCTTTCTGCCTGAAAGGAGTACAAAACAAGATAAAAAGTGAGCAAAAAGCAAACTAGATTCAGAAGTAACTTTGTAGAGAGGAGCTAAGAAAGAAATTAACAAATTCATAGAAATACTAAATATCATCTCAAAATGTCTCCAAAGCACACAGTCCCTTCTCTCTATATCCTCTGCTCTACAGCCATGATTATAATTCCTCAAGCAATGTCAGGGGAATTAGGTGATAATATATATTGATTAAACAGATAAGGGAGAGCCACAACAAAGCATTAGTGATCATGCTTTGGAGACTAAAAATTTCAATTTGTTAGGTCAGCATCTGATATCATTTGTTGATTTTTAAATATTTGAGTTTGACCCAACTACAGAATGATGCCTATAAAATAAGGAGATTATCACTGACACAGTCTTTGGAACACTGCAGGAATTGTAATCGATTTTATCATCATCCTCTCCCTCTCCTTATCTATATACAATTTGAGAACACTACATGTAATCAAGATCTTAAATCCTTGTTTGTATATATTCACTCAAATAGTGTCTGATTGCTAAGTATGTATTTTTTTTTTTTTTTTTGAGACGAAGCCTCAAGCTATCCCCCTGGGTAGAGTGCCATGGCATCACGCTCACAGCAACCTCCAACTCCTGGGCTCAAGCGAGCCTCCTGCCTCAGCCTCCCAAGTAGCTGGGACTACAGGCGCCCGCCACAACGCCTGGCCATTGGGTGCAGCCATCATTGTTGCTTGGCGGGCCCGGGCTGGGGATTCGAACCCGCCACCTTACGTGTACGTGGCTGGTGCCTTAGCCGCTTGAGCCACAGGCACCGAGCCTGCTAAGTATGTATTATAACAATATGAAGAATACAAGATCACACACTGATCTTGAAGGCGCTGTTAAGTACTATTCTGCTCAGCCCACCTTGTATTTACACTCTCTTATGAAACAGGGATTAAGCCACTAACATCCTAGGTACTTTCATGCTGTTCGCACACTGGCATTAGTGTTGGTTCTCCCCCACTAGCTGAAATCTTTCATTCCCTAACTTCGATTTGAATTTATATAGTTCTACTTGCTTTCTACTATCTACCCCAAAGTTAGCTTCTCATTAATTCTACATATTTTCTCTTCTTTTTTTTTTTTTTGAAGATGGTCTCTTTCTGTGGCCCAGACTAGAGTACAGTAGCACAATCACAGTTTATGACAGCCCTAAACTTCAGGGCTCAAGTGATCCTCCTGCCTCAGCCTCCTGTGTAGCCATGCTATGTAGGCATAAGCCACCATGCCCAGCTTCATAAATTCGTTTCGGAATATTCTTCTGCTAGCATTTAACCCTCTTATAAAATCACTTAATATTCTGTCATTCTATTCTGAAAACAAATATATGACCTAAACGTAAACCCTACAATTCATTATAGGAAAGAACCACAACTTGCATATTCATATTTATGGCAGTACCTGAAAAAGGCACAATAGAGAATACAGAGTGAATGTACCTTCCCTGAATGAATAAATGAAAATGTGTCCTATATATCGTGTGAGAACTATACTTAAACCAGAAGAGTGCAAGTGGCTGACAGAACTATTTATAATACCCAAGAAAGACTCAAAAGATCACAAAATGCCCCAACCATTGGCCTCTGAAAGGCACGCCTTTCTATTGTGACACAACTGAAATAGACTTTACCTTTTCAGGCTGCTGACCATCAGGGTCTGTTTCCATTTTTTCCTCTTCAGCTCCTTCTACAAATAAAAGAATATGCTAACATAAATGTTGTTTAATTTGTGGAAAAGCACTTGGCTGCCCCCCTTAGGATTTCCACTTTTCTATATGTGTATTAAAAAAAAAGTTCAAGGCAGTGCTTGTGGCTTGGTGGGTAGGGTGCCAGTCCCATATATGGAGAGTGGCAGGTTTAAACTTGGCCCTGGCCAAACTGCAACAACAACAAAAAATAGTCAGGCATTGTGGCGGGCGCCTGTAGTCCCAGCTACTTGGGAGGCTGAGGCAAGAGAAT